TGCTTGTTACTACCGCCAACATGAAGCACCACACTTGATGTCGATCATCTTTTGAATTTGGTTGAACATCACCTTTTTGCAGAGCAGGCGATAATTTATTATTACAAAATTCTGTCATTATTCCATCATGATACAACTGCTTCGCTGCAACTGGAACATTTGCTAACGATAAAAGAAAATACATCACACTATCTGTGTATATCGGGCGGTTCTCCCTTGGAAAAGATAAAGAGTAGGTAAATGCATTGAGAAGCAACTGAATTATATGATGATCTTCTAGAATCTTGAGCCAGACTGTTGGATATGGACTACATAATGGTTTTATAAGTTTTTCCAGGATTGCAACTAATGTCAAAATGTCTTCTTCAAAAGCACTATCACTTATTTTCCTACTCATAAGCGATTCTAACAAAGCGCTAATTTCTGTAAGAAGTGAACGGCAAGCATAGCGGAATCCTGATAAAATTGAAGCATCACGCGATAAAAGACTATCAGTATTACGAAGTGCGCGAAGGCATAATAATAGTGATTGTAAAAGCGGTCGATGTACAACGTTTGATAAGAAAATTGTTAGACACTGGTGCACGTGTTGAAACGGAAGAACAAGAGCTAAAATCAGTTGAAATAGTTTTGCGTGGATTACAGCAGTTTATCTCTAAGGCATTAGGTGCAATTTAGATAAATGCACACCACATTTGTCACTACGCGCCGTATATATATTTAATATAGATTTAATAATAAAAATATATCAGAAAATAAATACAAATCACCTAATTAGCATTTATAGGCATGTTAATACTGTAATGCTATGAAACAGCATTTTGTTTAATTCTTTATGCAAATGATGTCTGCGATCACATAATGGCTATGTTATTATTATTGTATATACATTATTATGTTAAAAAATTAGTTTTAGATTGTAATCAGCACAAATTTGTTTGCGCTTTTACTTCATATAAATTTTTCCGACAGATTTTTTACAATTTAAATAAAATTTTGTTTTATTGCGGTTTGCATAATTTTGTGATCCTTATCGTTATGATTTTTTTTTTTTATGATTAACTAGCCAATGTGTTATCTTCCAGTACCCACGTGCTATAAAAATTAATATAGTAAATACATAGCTTTAATAACTATATATTGTACTTTAGAAAAAAATAAAAATGGGGTTGAGTCAATAGAAACTAAGCAAATATTTTGTAATAAGTTTTTTTAAAATTTTAAACAAGAATAACTTAATAAAAACTTAATCAAATTCAATAAAAGTTTTTAAATTAATTCTACAAGTTTGTAAAAATTATTTAAAAAAATTTTTATTAAATTTAGTCAAGTTTTTGTTAAGT